CTCTTCAGCCCCAGGGTTTGGAGCTCATCCCGCTGTGCTGCTCACACTGGTGGCTTTTCCAAGGCTCCTGTTGGAATTACTAACTCAGCTTTAAAGCCAGCACCGAACCCGCTGACTGCCCGTGGCTTGCGCCCACTCTGGTTTGCAAGGGGACAGGGGAATTAGGTGGGGTACGAGCATTTTTGCTCCCCTTTAACTGCAAAATGGGAAAAAGATCCCAACAAGGGGAAATCTGACCATTAACTTTAGGTTATAACCAGAACTAACCCCTGAGCTCCCGGGGCAGGAGGTGCCTGTCTCTCCTCATCTGAACTGGTTCAATCCCTTGCTGGGAACCGGCTGCACCAGTGCCCTGCCCCATCGCACCCACAGCCCAGCCCTGCTCTGGTGCTCTTCCACCTGAGGGAGCAGCTCAGGTGCTGCTGCTCCTCCCGGCCCTTTGTAGGTCAATGGAGGGCTCAGCTGCTGCTTCTCCCCTCTCTGGACAAAGCTGGTGGTGGTTGGCCCAGGCTGAAGGAGCCCTGTGGCCAGGCTGGGCTGCTCAGCTTGTCACCACTCTGCTGCTGCATGGAGAAGGCTGGACTTTAGCTTTGCTTTCCCTGAGGATGCTTTTGGGGGCAAACCCTAAACATCCCTGGCAGAACTCATTGACCCATGGCTGTAGCACCTCACTTCCAGCTGCAGAGCCTCACTGGCAGCCCCACTGACAGAGCCCCACCAGCCATGGGAGGGTATGATCCAGCTCTGCAGTGCCAAGAGCCCTTTCCAGCCCCAAGGAGAAACAAGCAGGTCTTGGGATTGAATACAGTGGGGAAAGGAGAAGAACCTGGCCTTCCTCCCAGCCCCACCATGGGAACCCCAGCATCCTTGCTCCGTGCTGAGGCTGGGATGGGAGAGCAGCAAAACCCAACCCAAAGTGCAAGCTTTCCACCCATTGCTCAACTGCGGGGAGCCCATCACTACTTTGTGTCCCCAAAGCTGGGCACACACACAGTCCTCCCCACTGGGAAAGGCTGTGCAGGGCTGAGTCTCCCATGGGGGTGCAAAACCCAAGCCTAGATGCCAAGCTCCCTCTTGCACAGCAGAGGCAGACCCGGGCTGTCCTCAGAGCCCCACACACAGGGACAAAGAGGTATTTATTTGTCACTTCCTCCCTCACCACTGCTCTGACAGGCAGGAGGTGACAGCAGAGGGGGCTGGAAGGGCTGACGTAAGAGGAAAAGATTAAAAACGCTAAATCTGGAGAGCTTGGCTCAGCAGCAGCTAAAAGGGTGTGTGACCACGCTCTGCAAGCATCTCAAGGGGCATTGGCATGTGCGGGGTCACCCACCATGACCGGGCACAGGCTTGAGGGATCCTCAGTTGAACAATGACACAAGATTGTTACCATCAAACCTTTGTTTTCCTCTGGATCCTCTGCAAATGAGGGTGTTTATGGGGCTGGAGCAGCTCCCGTATGGAGACAGGCTGAGAACATTGGGGCTGCTCAGCCTGGAGGAGAGAAGCTGTGGGGTGACCTCAGAGCAGCTCCCAGTGTCTGAAGGGGGCTACAAGGATGCTGGAGAGGGACCTGCATCAGGGACTTTATTGGCAGAACAAGAGTGATGAGTTCAAACTGAAACAGGGGAAGTTCAGGTTGGAGATAAGGCAGAAGTTCTTCCCTGTGAGGGTGCTGAGGCGCTGGCTTGTTTGTCCTACAGCACAGGTCACTTACTGGCCTGGGCACCCAGGACCCCTTTAGAGGAGGGGGAACGTGACCAGTTTGCCCGCAGCTGATGGCCATTTGCCCCATAAGACAGTGCACTAAGGGTTGGGAGGAGAGGACCAGTGCACAGCAGGGAAAGGGAACATGGGGAGCAGAAGAGCCTGTATTCCCCACAGTGAGATCCCACACAAGTGGCAGTGGCTTTCTAGCACGGACATGGTGGCAGCACCAATCCTGCACCCCAGAGCAGAGTTAAGCACATGGATTGTGGTGAGGTTTTACCCCTCTCAGCCCTCACACAGCTCCTCATCCCCCTTCTCTTACACTTCATGCTGCAGAAGGCACCCGGGGCTGGTGCAGCCCCTTCCCATGCTGGCTGAAGGCATCACCAGGTTCATGCTGCAGCCACCCCACTCCCAGCACAGTAACTCCCATCAACCCAGAGACAGCATTTCCCATACACAAGACGAGTGTTTATTCAGAGTTAACATTTGTAGACAAAAAGGTATTTTCCCTTCCCCCCACATAGTTAATAGCCTTTTTTATATAAATAAACATTTAGTGCTGGGAGCTCACCAGCTTCACTGACAGCAAAGTGCATCGTGGTGCAAGGCAGGAGGTTGACCCTGTCCCTTTTCTACCTGGGACCATCTTGCACCAGTTTCCAGAGTCCAAATCCAGCAGAGCAGGAGATGAACCCTATGAAAGTGCTGAGACCTGACAGTGTCGAGTCCCTCAAGAGCAGGGACGGACCCTTCAGCGTTGGGACGGAGCAGCCCTTGCTCCAGGACATCCCTTGGTCCCAGAGGTGACTGAAGCCACTCGTTCTGCAGAGCCAGGTGAGGGTCTTCTCCCCACCCCAGCCCCAAAGGAGGAAAAAGTCCAGGAAAAAGGAAGAAAAAAAAAAAAAAAAAAAAAAAAAAAAAAAAAGAAAAAGCTACAATTTCTTCTTTCAGTGTCATCCCTGGTGGGGAGCAGGAGCCTGCTCCAGAGCGAGCCAACAGAGCAGGGACAGGCGCTCCCCAGCCTCGTGTCAGTGTGGAAAGAGGCAGGAACACGAGGGCAAGCACTCAACAAGCCAAGGTCAGAAGGTGGAGGTTTGGGTCAGCAGCATCCAGGGGACCCCGAAGACTCGCACAGGCAGTGTTGGTCCTGCAGTAAGCACAGCACTGGGAGCCTCCAGCAGGTTTGTCACCATCTGCAGCCTGTCTGACAGGGGACACCAGCAGCGGGTCACCAAGGAAGGGCTGTCCAGGGAACAGCCTCTCCCAGGCAGCCGTGGGAAGGAGCAGCCCCTACATCACTGCTAGGTCCATCCTGATGGGTAGAGGGTCACCTCCATGTGCCAGCAACTGGGGTGTCCCCTGGCCAGGCTGTCCCAGAGCAATATAATCCACACCAGTGACCCTTTTAGGATACCTGGTGCCACCAAGTGTCTGGGACACAAGTGTCCCCCATGGCCAGCCATCAGGCAGAAGAAGGACCATGGCTGGACAGGAGGATGATGCTTGGTCCCACCAATGCTGGGCAAAGGACACGCTTTCTTCTCTGCAGGCAGGGCAATGCCTTAGAGCCATCAGGCCCATTTCAGTTCTCCTCTATCCCCTCAACATGGGCTACTCATACATTGCACACAGTGAAGGTCCCTCAGGACCCCAGACTACTCATAAATAGGAAACTACAGACTCTACATTGCTTCATAGACAGCTTACACAGTACAGAGTGGGGGGAAAGAGCCACGGACACCCCCAGGGAACACGAGCAGCTGTCCCCGATGGCAGAGGAGCCAAGCACCATGTCATGGCTTGGGCTTCTCAGGGGCGATCCTCCGCTTGGAGCTGTAGAAGTCTGGAGGGCAGAAAGAGAGGGTTGGGAAGTGCCTCCGGCCTGTTGGAAGCAATGGGCAGGCAGAGGGAGGTGTGCCCAGGGAAGCTCCCCAAAACCCAGCCCATCTTACAGCCACCCCCCAAAGATCCTGAAGAGAAGAGCTGTGAACCATCTCTTCTGTTTGGTCTCACTTGCATTTCCACTCCAGGCCCTGATCTTACAGGACAGGATCAGGCCATGGGAGCTGAAGGTGAACAACTATTTTGGGGCATCCTCAGTTATGAAGCCCACATGCCCAATATAAGGGCCCTGCCTAACCCCCAGCATCCAAAAAACACCCAGTTTGCAGCCTTTCCCCTTGGAAGATGGGCTCTGCTCTCCCCGGAGAGATGCAACAGAAGGTGGCTCCTTCCCATGCCCAGGAGCCAGGCAGGGCTCCGGCTCCCAGGTCCTCTCCATCTGTCCCTACCAGGAAAGCCACAATCCAGGGGTGCCCCCCCAGCTCCAGCACTCACCTTTGATGGTGGTCTGCCCACGTTTCAAGCTCTGCGGGGCACCAGCCCTGTAAACCCCTGAGCTCTGCTGAGATCCCTCAGGGCAAATCCTGCCAAGATACTCATTGGAGGGGACCTTGTGGACCAAGGAGCTCCTGCTCTTGCTGCTGGTGGCCTTGACCAGGCTGTGGACCTCCTGGGGCAGCTCCTCAGGCAGGAAGACCCTCTCCCACTGGAACTGTCCTTCCAAGGGAGTCTCGGTCTCAAAGTCGAAGTTCCAGCGCTGCTGAGCTTCTTCCAGGTTTTGCTTCAAGAGGTTCTCAAAGTCGTGCTGGAGCTGCTGGTGGTCCACGGGGCCAAAGAGGTTCCTGCAGACCTTGCTGTTGCACGGCATCTGCCCAGCCTTGCTCTGAGACAGGGGCATTGTGGTGGCTGGGAGGGAACAGAGCAAGTTACTGGGGTGTTGGACAAGCCACAAGCAAGCCCAAGGGCCAGCACATGTTCTACCAGAGCAAAGCACACTGTAACCAAGGTGGGACAACCTGGGTTGGGCTCCACAATGAGGCAGCATGGAGAGAACCCCCATCTGCCAGTGCTCCTCTTGGACTCACATTTGGGATTTTAGTGGTGCCTCAGAGGCTTGAGCATGACCGAGGTCAAACACAGCTGGTATAGAACCAGCTAGGTGGGAAAAGACCTTCAAGATCATCAAGCCCATCATCCAAGGAATGATGCAGAAGGATGGGGAAGGTGCACATGGTGATGTTCCCCATTCCTCCTGCCATGGCAGAGCATCCAGCATCAACACTGCCACCAGTTCCATCACAGCCTGCTTCATTCCCCCTTCCACACAGGCACATGGGCAAGCAAAGCTACAGGATGTTTTTCTAGCCCATTTCTTCACCTTGAGAACCCTGGTCGAGTGGCAAGGAAGCCTTTTGAGCAACTGCAAGAACATGCCACAAGCTTGACCACTGTTAACCACCCTCCTAATCTGCAAGAAGCTGTTGGGTAACCAGAGACAAAACCCTGTTTGTGTTTGGTTTTTTCTTCAGATCGGTGCCAAAAGCCTTGACCTTCACAGAGAGTGGCAGAGCCTTCCCCCAGACCTCCCACTGCCATCAGGAACCTTGTTATCAAAGCAAGCAACGCTCTGGGATGTGATGGCTTTTGGAGCAAAGGCTTCACCCTGCTTGGTCAGTATTGAATCTGGCACAGGGTGCCCAGAGAAGCTGTGGCTGCCCCATCCCTGGCAGTGTTCAAGGCCAGGTTGGACACAGGGGCTTGGAGCAACCTGCTCTAGTGGAAGGTGTCCCTGCCCGTGGCAGGGGTTGGAGCTGGATGAGCTTTAAGGTGCCTTCAACACAGACCAGTCTGTGCTTTAAAAATAGATTCACAAGTAAGAGCACGCAAGGCCACCTTCCTCATTGCCCACCCAACGTGGGACCACACCAGACCTGCCCACCCAGCCCCAAACACCCCCAGGGATGAGGGCTCAGCCTCCTGCAGGGAAGACTCGGCCCTAACTCAGCACCCCCACTCGCAGACATGCCGGGGGCACTGGAGAGCCACCAGCCCGGGGAGCGGGGGGACCCTCATCCCTCCGTGCGGCCACCCGGCCCCTCCGCCCTGCCCCAGCCTGGCCCCG